TCCTTTATGAAGGCATAGAGCCTTTACTACATGAAAATGAAAATTAATGAATACACTGTGTACAGTAATTTACCTGATAAGACAGACCTCAGAAAAATACTTTATGAGGCATAAAGCTGTCTTTATCATGAAAATTAATTAACTAAGGATTTTTTTGCCCTGCCAGGGTGTGGCCGAGTTTTCGAGGCTCTACTGTACCACTAGTTAGAAAAAATTCCTTGCCTTTTTAAAAATTTGAAAATTTTACGTCTTTAAAAAGTTTGTTGATTTGATTCACTGTGGCATGGAAAAACCATAGTGAATCAATTTATGTATTTTTTTTTTTTTTTTCATTTTTGACAGTCTTTGCTCTACAGATTCCATGATTAATTAAAAGGCTCAGTGGGCTAGTTAGGAATGGGGTCCAGTATATTTAGGTCAACCTATCCTGCAAAATTCTGAGGTGATTAGACTCAAAATCCAGATATTCAAAGCAGCAGAGAGGTACTGTATCTTTATGACCTCAATAATCTGTTTTTAACAAAAAAAATTGTTGGTATTATTTTTACCAAAGAATTTATATACAAAGTAGCAGCAGTACTGATAAATAATCATATATTCTGCTGAAAGAGTATGTATAACCAAAACTTTTCCATAAAAATATGTGCTAGTTTAGGAATTTTTTTTAAACATGATGCAAACACTGTGCCATCTTCTGTTGACTACATCTGAAATTGATAATCTTGATTTCATCTACTACTGTGTATGATGACCATTTTCCATTTTGTAAAACTTATTTATGTTACCAAATCTAGTATCCATTGTGAGTGAAAAAATAAGTTAGTTTAATAAATATCACTATAGTCATAATGTACAAATGTTGTAGTAAATTGGCATATAGAAAATAAAACAAAATAGTGGACAATAACAATACACTGTATATGGTGGTTTTTTTTCAATTGTTGAGATAATAACAAATAAGGAAAAGAATAGTTTTGGTCATTTTTTATACATCATCATTCATTGAAATTGAGTATTCTCATTTCAAATCTGCATAATGGATAAAAACAGGTAATTTATATAACCTACTATTTGTACACACAAGTAAGGATTAGGTTTACCACAGAATATATTATAAATCCAATCCATACCTTTTTAACAAGCAACAATGTTATATACCCTAATTGACATATTTTACAACAGAAAAAATATCAAATTAAAACAAAAAATTATTTTTGTTATCTTAACTAAAAAAAAATGCAAATATTTTTCTGAAATTTATTATTTTAAAACTGAAATTAAATTTGATATTGTGTACTAACTTCAAGAGTTTAATTTATATTATGAATATCATTTTCTAATCAGATTTTTACTTTTAGGATCTCTTGGAATTGAATGCTTTAATTCGTAATTTTGCTCTGTTTGTCACAGTAAGTATTTTGTATTGAATTTTTTTTGTTTATATAATAAAAATTTTAACTAGATGTATCAAAACAGAACTTTATAATATGGAATAGTGAAAATTACATTTCAAAATCCTACTTCTGTTAGACTGACTAATTATGTTTTGTTTCTTAAATACATTTAAACAGCAAAGTAAATGCAGAAATAAAATATTTTTAGTAAGTTTAAAATAATGTTTTAAAATGATTAATTTTGCTGTTGTTTTGAATAATTGTAGACTTATCTCTTTACTACTATATAAAATCTATTCTTTAAAGAAAAAAGTCTTAGATAAATTAGTTAGATGTAATTAAAAATATCTTTAAATAGATATTTATGTGTTATAAATAAATATATATTTTATTTATTTAAGAACATCTTTAAAGTTATTGACAAGTGAAAATTTCAGGTTATAGTATATTGGCATTTTCTTCAGTTCCTAAGAAAAAATCTAAAGTACTAGTTATTTAGCTAGCTTTACATTTAAATGATTTTTTAAATTTTAAATCATTTGAGAAAACATTGGAAAAGATCAAGCAATCCTACATATTTATAACTACACTGCATTATCCAAAAACAGTTTTATCATAAATGCAACCTTTCATTTCATACTTATTTTAACAATGTAGTATTATCCTTTGCATCTGACCTTTGAGTTTTATCCCTAATTTTTCTAAAATAATCATCTGGAATAGCTGTAGATTTAGGGAAGAAATCTGTTTATGATATTTATAATGACTTTAAACAATAATTTTTCCATTTACAACCTAAAGCCAATTTCAAATCTCTTTTCTACCATACTTTCAGATAACATTTTTTTTATTTCTTTTCTTTTTCTGAAGTTATTAAAGCTATTGATTCCCTAAAGGCTACTACTTATAGTCCAGATCATATCCCAAGAATAGAAATTTCTCCTAATTCAACACTGTGGCATCTCTCACTCTAAATGAATAGTTTCTAATAGATTAGTCATGATAATCTTAAAGATTTTTAAACATAAGTGCCCTGTTTTTATTATTTACATAGATATTTCTCAGGCTTTCAACTCCATTCTCCCCAATCTTCTTCTAACCTTACTAAGAGAACAATTCGATTTAGATCCTATATTCCATTCTTGATTAAAATAGATCAGATGGAAATCAAGGAATTCAAAATTACTTATCACATCCAGCAAGGATCAATCCTTAGCAGCCTTTTTTCTCTGTTTATATGAATAAAATTCTCAGCCATGTTAATTCACATGTTATAATGTATGATGATGACATTAAACTAATAAATTATGACCCTGTTTCTCTACAATCAGATTTAAACATATCTGAATTATTTGAAAAAGCTAACAACTAAAAATAGTTGCAATGTGCTTTTTGTTAACCAGAAATTTATCCTTTTCATCTTTTTTTATTTGTGCTGAATATATAAATTACGCCAACTCTGACGATTTAGTTATTACAGTAGAACCTCGAAAACTCGGCTCTCGATAACCCGGCACTCCGGATAACTCGGCCACACCCTGGCAGGGCAAAAAAATCCTTAGTTAATTAATTTTCATTATAGACAGCTTTATAAAAGTATAAAAGCTCTCATAAAGTATTTTTCTGAGGTCTGTCTTATCAGGTAAATTACTGTACACAGTGTATTCATTAATTTTCATTTTCATGTAGTAAATGCTCTATGCCTTCATAAAGGACGTACTTTTCCTTTGTTTAAGGGTATTTGGGCAGTTTATTCTCTGTTATATTCTCAAGTAAACAATACATACAAGTACAGTACAGTATTTTCTGAGGAAACACTCGTACTTATTTTTTTTAACCCCATTCCTGATAACCCGGCATTTTCACAAACTCGGCCACCCGTCGGTCCACATTAGGTCGAGTTTTCGAGGTTCTACTGTATTTTTGATAGTGAACTTTGTCTCAAAACTCACGTTGAAAGGATAGTTAAATCCCTTACCATTCAATATCTTCTAAAACAACTTTACATTCTGTTTTTGGTAATTTTCAATCACTTATTGGTTACTATATACCAATCTGGTTGATGGATGCCTCCTCTCTGTTAGGAAAAAACCACGAAAGAATTCAATAAAATATACCTAACTTTTATTAAATTCTGTAATTTACCTTTTACTAGCCACCCTAACATTGTTAGGTCCAAATTGGGTTTGCTGTCATTTCCTAATTGTGTAAAATATTTTGATATATTATAATATAATCCAATTGGACATTATGTGACCATTGTAATATCTAAGTGTTTCTCCCATGCAATTTTTGTAATTTTTCAAACATTTTTACACCCGTTTTTTAGATTATCCCTATCTCAACTTTTTTTTTTTTTTGAATTTCACAGAATATAACAGAATCTGAACACCTATTACACACTGATCACATACTTCACATACTGTTTTGAAACTACAATAAACAATATATAATTTTTAACTGCATTTTTTTAATATAAGATAAATTTATATAATTCTTAACCTGTTTTTTTTTTCTTAATTTATTTGTTTATTTTTATGTGTTTTATTTGGGGGAGAAAATCTTTTGTCATAAGACTTTTCCTAATGCGATTGTAATAAATAAATTTATTAATTAATTGAAGCATAAAGTTTTTCAACAGATTTTTGTGTTAAGAATTCTAACTTTGCTTATTGTAGTAAACAGACAGATTGCACTGTATATATGTAATTTATTTTGTGATTTGTCTTTACTGATAACATTAATAAAACCATAATTTCCATCTACAATTGATGGAAATTATGGTTTTATTGACTTGAACATTAAATTGGCATCTTATTCACTCATATTATTGTGTCACAACATGTAATTTTTATATTATTAAGTTAACCTTTGTACAGAGGGTTAGTCAGATATGGCACTATCATGTTGTAGTGGAGAATAAACATGGAAAATTTTTAAAGAATTTTCCCATGCATTTTTCTTGTTCCTGTTTCAGGAAAAAACATTTTAAACAGTTATGTCTAGTAAAGAAAAATCTTTTTTATTGTCACATAATTCCTTTTTTATGTGAATTTTTTTCGCGGTAGTTTTTGGCTAGTTTTCTGTAAAATATCTGCAAACTTTTTTTGCAGATATAAACGTTGTTCAGCAGTGCCACGTGATCGCTCTTGACGGTATATCCATCAATCACTGCAGAGTGGTTAAAGTAAAAAAAGTAAAAAATGCCAACAATTTATACTATTGTATTTGCAAGAAAATAATGGTTAAGATTAATATCATGAAAAAAGACAAAACTTTAATGACTACTTAGATTTCCAATCAGTTCTCTAGCACTGGAAATTTCTTATATCTTACTGACCAACTGTGAGAACTACACTAAGCACTCACAATCTCTCAAGACTAAATATTTAATTTATAAATTTGTACTTTAAATCCTTTAAATGGAATGCACAATAATGACTAAAATATTCATTCATAAAAAAAAATTCAAATTAACTTTAAAACAATCAGCAAAAATTATTTTTTGCTCTTGATACATCATATTTATAATTTTTTATCTGTTAGGTATTACAGAACATAAAAATACAAAGTTGGAACTTCCTTTCAACCCTTTCTTTATCTGGAATAAATAAAAATGATTAAACTCCTTACTTAAGAGCCTAGTTGTGGAAACACTCTTCACTTAACTGTTGTTAAGTGAAGATTGGTTGTATTTTAACCTTTATGTTTTAGGATATGCTAATTCCAATAAAATTAGATGACCAATAATATCTGTGATTATAAAAAGGTTTTACTTTATTTATATAAAATGTGTTAAAATTATCAAATTTAGTAAATGATGTTTATAGTTAATTGTCTTAGAAATACAAAAACAGTATTCTTAAATTTATGCAGATCTTAATGGAGTATGTAATCATGTAGGTGCATATATCAATTGTAAAAGCTGAAGAATTGTATATCAAATAGTCAATTCCATTTTTTGAATATTATTTTTCATTTTATATCAATTTTGATTTAAGTTGAAAGATATTTATGTAAAAACCAATTGAAAGGCATCAGGGCATACTAAATAGTTAGCATGCATAGCAATGATAAATAATTAATTACAAATGGTTTACTTAAAGTGCAGAGATGTTCAGCAGAACACTGTTGAAAGTGAACTGCCCATAACTATCATTGTCATGTACTAAAACCAACATCCCTACATCCAATTCTCATGAAACAACTTTCAAAATACCAATAAGATACTAGATATTTCTGTTATGATTGCAAAGAAATACCGTAATATCCCGTCTCCAGTTCAAAACATAATAATGAAACAAAAAAGCATAACTATCATTGTCATGCACTATGACCTACATCATTATATCCAATTCTTTTTAAATAACACAGCAAGCAACACGCATGCCAAATACCATCAAAAAGAGTTGAGCATGGATTCTGGCAATTCCTAGGTTTGCCACTATGCTTTGCTGGTGCTTGATACATTGACAGAAACTGGCCATTCTTTCAGTTTTATATAGTAGATTGTGTTTATACACATCATAATTATCAGTAATAAGTAGTGTCAGAAGTAATGTTTAAAGTTAAACTTCAAACCATATAGAAAATAAGAATAAAAAATATCAGGTTAATCGTAATGAAGATTTTTTGAATCATTTTATTATATAAATATTTATATCATTAATTTTGATTATTGTTCTTTCTTTTGAAATATTAAATCAAACAGATTTGTTTACAGTATCATTCTGGTGGCTGATCAGCATACTAATGTTAGCAGATTCAAAATATCCTAAACAACAGAATAACAGATAAAGAGTTCTAACTCTATTTTTTATTCTACAGATAATCAGACAAAACAGATTGGTGATATTCTAACTAATCTAATTGTTAAATTTAAATTTAGTAATTAAATTACTAAAGTTTTTTACTGTGGATAAAATAATTATACAATTACATGAATTCTTTAATAATAAAAAAACAAATGAATAAGCCAAAATTGTTAAATTATAATCAATAACCTGTAGTTTTATTGAATTTTTATACAAGATATCATTTTGATAATTTATGATGATATTGTGTAAAATAAATCAATAATTTACATAGCAGTATTTATTTTTAAAAATATTTTTTATGAAGCTAGATGATGCTATTGTGAACCGAGAAGGTTAAGTTTAAATGAGTTATTAGAATTACATCTGTTTTCTTACAAACTATTGTATATAAATGTCTCACATGTTGAATCTAAGTTACTGAGAGGTTTACCTACTTTCCAAAGGGTATGTATAAAATGATGCTAAATCAACAATAATACAGCCAATGTTATACAAATTCAAAATAAAATTAAATACATTCCATGTAAATTTATTTGAAAGTTCAAGATTGCATACAGTCTACTCATAGAATTTTTTCTTTGTTACAAGGAAGTTTTGGGATAGTCATAGACTTTCTTCTCAGAAAGCACTGAGATTAATTATTAACCACTCAACAGCGAGCAACGATTATAGTTGTCAAATTCTTTTGGGGAGTATTGCCAAAAACTAGCCTAAAAATACTGCAAAAAAAAAATCACATAAAAAATGAATTATGTAACAATAAAAAAAGACTTTTCTTTACTAGACACACAAGTCGACCCCCCTATAACACTGTTGATTTTTCTGTTTTATATGAATTCCATGATGTATGAGTCACTTAGATTTTACAAATACGTGTGCTGAGCTGTGAATGGCTAATGTATTTGTAAAATCTACGTGACTCGTACATCGTGGAATTCATATAAAACAGAAAAATCAACAGTGTTATACGGGGGTCGACTGTAACTGTTTATGAAATCTTTTTCTGAAACAGTAATGAAAAAAATGTGTGGAAAAATATTTTAAAAATTTCCCACATTTATTCTCCACTACAGGTGGTAGAACCATACTTCTATCTATAGTTAATTTTAACATTTTGTAATTAGTAGGGTCAATATAATTATGTATAATTAAAAAAATATTGTTAATTTTAGAATCAATATCAGACAACTATTATTGCCTTAGAATCAGTTATAAAAAGTTTACAATAATATGAAAAACTAAATTCCAATACAATGATTTTTAATGATTGAATTTTCAATGTTTTTGACCTTATTCAAACAGCCATCAACAGGCTAATAATATACATATAAATGATTTAATGTACTGTACATTATAGTAAAAGAAATTACAATACCTAAAAGCACTTATGCAAATATTATGAAAGTTTGCTATGTTGTATTTGAGCAGACATGTAATTGATTAGATTATTGTGAATATTTTTCCAAATATGAAATGTCATAGAAGTAGAAAGAAAACCAAAGTTTTCTGCATGGAAATTTTTGAACTTTTGGATACTGTTAATTATTAAAAATGCCAATAGTTGACTGAATAGAATAAACTTGATCTCTATAAAAAAAAAACATTTTGCATGATTATGATCAATGCAAAATCTCATTTTATATTAGCCACAATTTAACATACATGGTTCAAAAAGGATCTGGAAGACTATAGGGAAGGCAATCATTTATAGTATGACATTACAATGGAGGTTTGCCACTATTAATCAACTGACAAGACAATGGCAACAGGTTAAATCTTGCAGTCTCACTATGCACGCAGTAAACAGTAGGCTTTTTACAATTTTTTTCTGAGAGTTTACGGTGTTAGACAAGATAATATTTCTCTCTAACACCAGGTCACACACGAACATCTTCAAGGGTGTCGTGATAATGATTGGAATGAATGCCAGTAGAATACAGAAATGTTCACTGGTAACAACAATCCACAAAACCTTTTTATAACAGTTGTTCACTGGTGAATCTCAACTCTGTTGTCATCATCATTTTGTCCAAGATAGATTTACCACAATAATACTTAAAGGAATATTTCTTGATGTTTTATATTATATCAGAATACAGGTTCAATATGATGTTATAGGTTAGACTGTAATTAGTCAGAGATCTCAGTTTTGGTTATGATTTGGTGTTAATATTGATATCCTTGCAGAGTATGAAATATCAATATTATCAGATGTTTGATAATTTGTCAGTTTAATTGGAAACAAATTAAATTATTAGATTACATTACATTAATTGCTTTTAAATAATTCATATTGTGATGTACAAGATACACTCTACTTTTTAAACTTGTTAAGGATGTGAAATAATGAAAAGTATTCATTCTTTACTCAAGCATCTCTATCATTTATCATTGCATAATGAATAAATGTTCATTGAGTAATGTTTAATTTAACAATTCAAAAAGATATAAAGCCACAAAATAAAATTTATTTTCTAGATTAATCTAATTTAATATCCCATTTAAAAAATTTTACTTCTTTAAATCAATAGGTACTTTACTCTCACTGTATGTAGGAAAAAGAGTGGAATATCTTTTAGATAATCCTTGCTGAATGTTAAGGGACAGTGCCAGAAATTTCTGGGTCAACCACCTGAAAAATTCCCAAGGATTAAACTGGTTTCAAATGCAACTTCCTTAAGAGAGAAAGGAATACTCTAATTGCTTGAATCATTCAGTCATCAATAATGAAACCATTAAAGATAATAAAAAGTAACAAAGTTTTTTTAATGGTATTATGGTAATATCCAAACCAGGAGATTTCCTCCAATATCACAACAATCCAAACTCGGTTAAGAGAAACTAAGAGACCATTCTTCATTCTTTAGCCATATGTCTAATAAAAAGTCTTCAATTAACTTTATAAAGAAACAGAAACATCAGAAACAGCCTCAATTATAATAGGCATAAAACTATAACTATCAATACCTTTTTTCATATAAATTATTGTAGTTTGTATGTTGGGCAGAGTTCAGGGATTTGAGATTAATTACTTTCATTGGGATTAGTGTCTATTTATATAAACAAAAACAAAAAAGCTATAAAATTTTATTGAGCACAAACTCCAAACAAGATATTTGACTTGAGTAGTAAGTAATTGAGTATTAATAGCAATTTGTTACTAAATATTACTACATACTGCCTACTAATGAATAGCAAGCAAATATGGAATACCAAAATCTATCTGTTTCTCAGAATTAATGATATTGAGCAAGAGTGTTGATATCTATTCATTACTTAGAAGTAATTGAGTTTGCACATTATTAGATTATAGGATAAACAATGATGGCAATCCTTTATCAATAATTTCTTCTCCTCGTGTTGGAAATTTATATTTCAACATGAGAAGGAGGGAATTAGATATTATTAAAAAAATAAAATGCTGAAAGAAAATGATTATTATATGCATTAATTTAAACTGAATACAATAGTTGAGTGAAACTTTCTACTTGAACTTGTTATATCAAAGGGAGGGAATTCACACAATCAGCAAGACAACAAATCATATTAAAAAAGACTTTATTGTAGTCTTTTTGCGTCACTGATTGTGTGGATCCTCTTCCTTTGATATAACAAGTCCTAGTAGACAATGTATATTCAACATATAAAATAAAGAAGTACCTATAACCTTTCTGTTTTTACTGTCTAGTTAATTCCTGATGTATCATTGAAGTGGGCTGTTCATTTATGCTGTGTAAATAAGATTATCTCTTTCTGGTATTTTATATAATTAAATGCTATTTTCAGGAATATAGTCATAAAAATAGAGTTGTAAAGTGAATGGCTATACAGATATGGGAGTTGTAAATGGAGATAAGCTTTTTAAATAATATAGATTTACATATTTTAAAAATTCTAATATTTTTATATGTGGATAATTTTAAAACATGTAAAATTAATTCATTTTTTAATGGCTGAATTCTATTGTTTGGATAATTTACTACTAACTCATTTGTTTTTAACAATAATGCATAATAATGATTCAAAATAAATGAATGTGTTGTACAGTCTGTGTGATTGTGTATATTACATTTGTTTTTCTGTTTTAATTTTTGAATATAAGCATCAACAAGTAGCTATCAACAGTATTGAATACAATGTGGAGAGTGCACATCATAGTGTTAGAGAAGGCACGAAAAGTCTCGGAAAGGTAATTTCAAATAATAGTGTGCTATTTTTATATAATCTTTTAGTGTTTTTTATTTTATTTTAAATAAAATAATTTATTAAATAAATAACTTTTACAGGCAGCTGCCTTGAAAGCTGCGATGCTACCAGTGACAGGAGCAGTAATAGGTGGAATTGTCGGAGGACCAATTGGTCTTTTGGCTGGTTTCAAATTGGCTGGTGTAGCAGGTTTAGTTAGCGGTGGAGTTTTAGGTTTGTGTGGAATTTCAGAATAATGGAATCAATTAATAAAATAATAATTAAACCATGCCTAATCTAATTAACCAGGTTAATCATTATTATAGCCAAGAACAAATTAATGAATTTGATTTAAAGGTTAGCAATTCAAATTATGTCTGGAAGGGAAGATTGGAAGGTAGTGTAACTGAAAATATATCTTCATGGTAAGAAGTGCCACACCAAACCAGTCTCTTCATCCAAAATTTAAATATTAATATTGTCTGATTTAATTTCTATCAAAAACTTTAATTAAATGCAAGATGGAAAGCTATTCTTTAGACCAAATTCATTAGTTTAACCAGATTAATTAGATTTAGAATAGAATATTCTCTCATATTTTGACATATATTTTTACAGGATTTACTGGAGGTAAATATTTACAGAAGAAGAAAACTAAAGTTAGTGATGTAGAATTGCAAAATTTATCGTCATCGTCCATTCAAAGATCCCATTCATCTCCCGACTTAAACAACGAAATTTCTTAACAACTGGTTATAGTTTTCAATTTATACTCTGTGTATAATTATTTTGGACTGTTATCAAGTATGATTAAATTTTACATAAAAGATAATCTCATATGTGTAAACTATTCAATGTAAATACTTAAATCTATTTTTTTTATTGGTTTTATTTATAATTATCCTTTCCCATATACTTATCCCTAAATTTATACTGTAAATTTCATCTTAATGGTAATGTATCTATAGCTTGTTAAATCATACAGGCATCCTGTAAATATCAATTTTATTAATTTTTAAAATTAATTTATTATAGAATGTAAGAAGTTTAGTATTATAATGAAAATTGTTTTCTTTTTATACAATTTTTATTTTATTTACAAATTATTAAAAAAACTAGCAAATGTAATTGTTGCTTTAACAATAATTTTAGCAAATTATAATTAATTTGTTTATAAAAACAAGTTGCAGTACTTTATTGTAATTTTTAAAAATATTTGTAAATTTTATATTTGAATTTTATCAAACTCAAAATACTTCACATACATCAAATTAAAAAAATAAAACCTAATTACATGTATTGGATTATTATTTACATTGTTATACAGCACACCCAAAGTGAAAGGGACAAAAATTTGAGCTGTAGAAATTATTGTTCAAATGACTCCTAATTATCGCAATACAAATGAGCAATTATTTATTGTGATGTCAATGCCAGGCTGTAATTTTTAATCATGTTTTTAATTTATTTAATTCAAAATACAGTAGAACCTCGAAAACTTGGCCTAATGTGGACCGAAGGGTGGCCGAGTTTGTGAAAATGCCGGGTTATCGGGAATGGGGTTAAAAAAAATAAGTACGAGTGTTTCCTCAGAAAATACTGTACTGTACTTGTATGTATTGTTTACTTGAGAATATAACAGAGAATAAACTGCCCAAATACCCTTAAACAAAGGAAAAGTACGTCCTTTATGAAGGCATAGAGCCTTTACTACATGAAAATGAAAATTAATGAATACACTGTGTACAGTAATTTACCTGATAAGACAGACCTCAGAAAAATACTTTATGAGAGCTTTTATACTTTTATAAAGCTGTCTATAATGAAAATTAATTAACTAAGGATTTTTTTGCCCTGCCAGGGTGTGGCCGAGTTATCCGGAGTGGCGGGTTATCGAGAGCCGAGTTTTCGAGGTTCTACTGTATATGCTCTCCACCTCAAATTAATAGTGTCTTGCCTCTGTACATCATACTTTTCCTTTAACAGTAGAGTTATGCCATTCATCTATTGACTGCTCTCAAGGGAAAAGTTTTGAATTGAAATAATGTGACTTCCAGTCTGGACTGGAAGTTGTTATATGGTTAATTGGGGCCTCCTGCCCCTAAAGTATCCATATCTGCTCTCAGATTTCATCTATCTAACTCCATTCTCATGATTAAGGAAAGACAGATGGATGGATGGATGACTGGGAATTTATAAGTCTAAAATTTCTTCAAATTGCGGCTCAATAATATAGTTTATAATCGGGTGGATCTAGGTTTTTCGGGGCATAGGGCTTATCGATGTCCAATGAAACCCCATTTTTTTTGTTAGATTAAGAATCTTTAAATTGGGGTTTGAAATTCATTTTTAATAACATCAAAATCAGAGTTGAAATATATTTATTTATGAAATGGTGTTGAATGGCAAACTTTATATCAATAATACTTTTTCATTAACAGTGAGCACTTGACAATTTATGATGATAATTCAATTTTTGGGGCCAGGACTTAAACCCTATTAATCCCTATGTAGATCTGCCCCTGTTTATAATGTTTTTAAGTTTATTTTCTGCTCTCAACAAAATCTTTAGTTTTCTCTTGCTTGTCACTTCTGTCTACTTAGAGAATTAATTGATCATTTTCATTATAATTCTCACTAATTAAAATGTCAGCATTCAAACTTTATACAGTATGAATATGTTTGTTTGTTTAGTTTCAAACAATGAGTTGTGTAGGGAAACTTATAAATTTAGTTGGCCATAACTCAGTAAGTTGTCACATCATAAATGTATTCCTTACATTTTTAAATTTTCAAAGTGCTAAGATTCAGTTGGTCAGTTTGCATTTAATAATAAGGGGTTTTACTTTAGTACAAAACATCATTAAAATTGTGAATTTTAGGGTGTGTAGAGATGAAATTTAAGATCCAGAAATTGTATTTCATGTTTAATTCTCTACACTTCCAGCTTTGTGATATCAGCCATCTGTTCAAAATATCGCAATGTTGAAGATTGGTTTATATACACTGTAAAAATTACAAGAGAACAAAATGTAATCTCAAAACTGCTTTGACATAATGCATTTTGTGTTGGGAATTGTGTTTCTAACTTGGGACAGAAATAAATTTGATTTCAGTTTGACTTTTCAAGAATCTACTGTACTTCATAATTCCAACAAATGTAAACAAATTTTAATTGCTTTAAATTTTAAAAATTTGGGCCAAATTTTCACTGTTGAATTGTTGAAACTGACACTGATATAAAATGCCTATTATTGTCTAAGAAATAAACAATACACTAAATGTAATCTTTATGATAAATAAATTGTTAAATTCTGACTCAAAATAATTTTCTAATTACAAAAAAAAAACAAATTATATACAGATGGCCCAAACTATGATGATAACTGAATTGTCTCATTCAAATATTTTATTACTTACATTGTTGAAAACAACATCCTAGCTGTTTCAGAAATTCATATGGTTAACTGATCTTTGTTGTTGTGTGCATACACAAATACGGTGGCCCAAAATTGAATTTTTAAAATGAAAAAGCCAAAAATGGTAGAATAATTTTATTAAAAACAAAATTAGATTTAGAACTAGATTTTGGGGTTCATAAAAATCATATGTCATTAATAATTAAAACTATTCTAGGAAGATAAGCTGACAAAGTATTTTCTTAGTTGTTTTCAAATGATGGAATATTATATCAAATAAATTTTTATGATATTTGACATGGTATGAATCAAGAAGAAAAGACTAATAAGGATTTTTTGACAAAGAAAATAATTATTCAAATATTTAAATTTTTGACTTAGCCCCTTTTGTATTCCTCTGGATCCTGTGCAAGGAATAGTCAGATTAGCAAGAATCTGCTGTGTAACCAAATGAAAGGAGAAAAGAGAGAACAACAGTTTCTCGTATATTGTCTCATACATTATTTTCTTAATAATACATACAAAATAATGCATTAGGACTAAATGGGAAATGGATATACAGTATGAATTATAACCTTATCATAACAGGATTGAGAATATGATAGAAGAACTCTATAAGCAATGGGGAAATTATCAACAGTTTACAAGAATGAGAGGGGCCCACAAATAATTTAAAAAGATTTTAATTATTTAATAACAAAATTAAATAAAGCTTTTTTGTTTTTATTCTATAGAATATATACTAAGTTATCGGTTAAGGAGGTAACTGATTTTTACAAAATTAAATCAGTTTTTATTATTCTTTTTTATAAAGGAGATCTCCATTATTGGATAATCAGAAGGGCTTTAATGGCTTAAACACTCAACTTCTAAATCATAATTGAAACTCATTCACAAAAGTTAACATAAAGAAAGACTAGAATAAGTTATTCTTATCAACAGAATTAAGATTATTTTGATTGATATTAAACTTAGTCATATTTTCATGATAATAGTATATTATTTAAAATTTGATTCTAGTGTTTATTTTGAATAATCATAATAACAAGAATAAAAATCTAGCAGATAACTCGCAGGATAAGCCATTAAATGGAAAAGGTTAGTTTAGAATTGAAAATTGGAATTTAATGTCAAAAGTTACTTGTAATCTGGACTACATGAAATATATTCAATCTCCCATAACCAAATACAAAAATGAATTACAAAATTTCTTTGTATAACACGTTTTAAGTTGGTAAATACAATAAAACTAATAGAACCAAAGTCACTCTAAGTCCAGTCGATTACGTCACATGGAAATACTAGGAAGGGATCTTATGACATTAAGTGAGAGAAGATAAGACCAGCGGTTATTGCAAAATCCTACCGGATGGAATACCACCAGTGGTTTATTTAACTGGAATGTACTGAAACGCTATTTAGTAATTTTTTGAGCCAGAAACTACAATGTAGGTACGAATGTAAAGTACTGTACATAACTATATAAGTAAAATTGCCACATCATTGAAAAACTGAAAGATAGGGAATATTTCTTGTCGATGGCATCCCTGTGTAATTATTATTAATTTTTCTAGATTGCAAGTTATCAGGTCATCTACAGGGTTTCACTTTAACATTTATCCAGGCATAAAAGCAATTTTTCTGCATATGGTGCGTTAAGCTCAGAACTCATACACAGAAACGGAAAGTCGAAATATAGCTCATCTGTCTGATAAAAAAATAATGCTAGATAATGTTGCTGTGTGTATCAATTGAATTTTCTTTCTCTACTTTCAATTATATCAGCAAAAAAATGCACTAGGGACGAAAGCCAGAGATGGTGATTTCAACTTATTTCACAAATCATCAGATGGATCAACATTTGATCCATCTGATGATTTGTGAAATAAGTTGAATATAAATGTGAAAAGTTGAATAAGTGTGAAATAAAATTAAAAATATGAAGGTTTACAATATAGAATAAGTTACAATTATATTATTTCTTATTAACACAAAATATCACATTCTTTTATTTTGTTTGTATGGTAATATAATTATGTTGTATGTACTGTGTAAATCACAGTTTTATTATCCTACGAAAATACATTTAATTTGTGTACTTCAGTATAAAGTATATACACACGATACAGTATATACTGTGTTCACAGTTAATGCTATTGGCACGTTGTGCCACACTTTGGATGAAAACAGGCCTAAGTTGCTGATAGCGCCGCTCTGGTGACAGAGCTTGTCTCTAGACAGATTGTGGAAGACTTCACCCACCTTATATTCTAGTAATGGTGGCAGTAGCTAGTGTACAAAATAAGTGAATAATTCTAATTTAATTAAAATATTTCAAGTAAATTTTTGTTAATTGCCCATTGTGGACCTGGAAGAAGCTACAATGGACATGATTAAGTATAAAGGTCCTCTTAGTGCCCACAGGACGGGGGAGCTATGGTCAGATGTAATTATTGATTGATCCATCATCGATGGTTTTGAAGCAATCGCACATTACAACACGGGGCCATAGAACACGACAGCGCGCGCCAAAGATTACTAAAGGCATAAACATATGTGGCATGCTATAAACACTAACGTTTCCCATTTCGAAAACACTGCCAGCAAAATTAAGTCGATTGCAGCACGTAATCTTCAATTAAGATTGACACCTACATATTG